GGGTACGATAATAGCGCAAGCATCAAGGACTAGCAAACATTGTCGTCATTATGCTGTTTGTTGCAGACGCCTCCGATTTGACCAGTTCTTCTGGTGTAAATGTAACTTTCTGTGTGCGTATATAGCCGTTGTGCGTTCGTACAGCGCTAGCTGCTCCTCGAAAGGCTTGTTGTTGGTATTGGGTGCAGCTCAACCGTTCTGTCAGAGTGGACAATGCCCGAATTGCACATCATACAATAGCGAATAGGACAGAGTTCACTGACCGCAAGGTTCTTAAGTCTGAACAGTGATACGATGGTTGAAATTTAACAATCCCCGTTGTAGCTTTTCCATTATGTTCTGAATGCAAATATTTTTGACCCTAACACTAGCGAACAAAGAAAAAGGCGTCGATATCTATTTTTAACTCATTTCTATTCTGATTGGTTGCATCTGATGAACAGATTTCGTGCGATACTGCTTTTTGTTGTCCATTGTGAGCATCGCGATCTCGGAGCTGAATTTACCTAGTCTCTGCTGACGAACCCCCAGCGCCCTCCATTAGCCTTTCAAGTTGGTACAACGTTCCCTCAATGGCACTGGTTAGTTCCAACGCGGTTAATTCCTTTATCTAGTCTCCGCTTTTCAGCAAGGTAGTACTTGGTCTTCAAGCTGTGGCTACTCATTTTCATATCGGTTCCAACAACAGCAAGAACAACGTCCTCACTAAGGCCAAATGCCGGCGCCGGCGGCCAGTTGAGCCTGAGGTCGACCTGGGAACATCTACTATATGCTGTCGATTTATTCAGCATTACCGTTATACTAGAAAGTTCCCGTTTGTTACTTCGCCTATCTTTTAGCTCACCAGTCACTGCGCGGGTGAACAGGCATTCGTTTGCACGATTTTGTTCTTTATGTTGGTGTTCCCTTCGCCCTTCCACTATATTCTGACTCCTGTCTATTTTCCCTCAATTGCACACGCTTTTCACTGCCATCACCACTGCTTTTGCTTACTGTTGAAACGCCTTTACAGCCGACTGTTGTGACCGCTGACCGTGTGTGGCTGTGTGAATAATTGAGTCTTCATCGGCCTGTACCCTGGTGCAGTGTTAAAATCTACGTCGTTTATGGTTATCGTCCTCGTTGTCGCCGTCGTCGTCGGGTGCACTATCGTGGCAATAGGCGGTGACTATTGGTGTGTCTGTGAGTTCGTCCGCTGTTTGCCGGTCCTGCGTGGTGGTGTGACGGGATGCCATTTGCTGCTCCTGACGTCGCCGCCGCCGCTGGCGCTGCTGCTGATTCTGGTACAACAACTCTAGTATGTAATTCTGGCTAGTTACTTTTTGGGCGGCTGTATCTTAGCTAGATAGTAGAAAATTAAGCGAGGGATGGATCAGTGATGCTAGCACAGTGGGGGGTAACGAACACCGCGCTGCAGCGCGCGCAGGCGCATCCAATACAATAATGTTCAGCGGCTAGCAGCTGGGCGGGTGGCAGCGGACGACGCCACGAACATGGCGGCCGCCACACTGTCTTCATCATGGTAATGGCGGGGATTGTACTGTGGCAGGTTGAGAGCAGATGGCACCAATGGACTCGTTCGAGTTACGGAAAGACGACAGCAGGAACAATGAAGACAAAACGAGGCCGTTACGTCTCGAACATTACATATACACACACACACACATGCATATATATATACATACACATGTGTCTGTTACTGCGGATAGCCTAATCTTGTTACCTGCGATTAGCTTAAATATAGTGTGGTCTGCGAGGCTTCCGTTTCAAGCTATTGTAGGTAAAAGCAAAGTAAACCAATTGGAAACAGGTAGCTAGTGTGCTGCGACTCGTCATCACCATAGAGATCACCCTCGCTCTCATCCTCTAACAAGCACAGGCCGCGCGCGAAACGCTGAGAGTTCGTCAACGCGTCCAATTCTCATGATGGCGGCTGCGTTGCACGCATGCACAGCTCAAGAGAAGCACTGTCAACAATAGCAGCACTGCGCACTCGACCGGTATCAGCGACGAGGAGTTCATGCAGCAGGCGAGACAAGAATGGCCGTACCGAGAATGGTCAACAGGAGACTGAGAGTAAAAAGCATCTCCCTCGCTTTCTTCTACTAGGCACCGATGTTGATCACTGTTCTCGCGCGCGTGTCTTTTCTCACCGCGACGATGAGTAGACTGGCATCTCTGTCACTAGCGGCGCCTGATTCCGCTGATGCTGTTGCTGTATGCCAGTGGTGTATGCATGCGTGTATTTGGTCTTTGGCACTATCACATGACCAATGTTTACGTCAGCCTTCGAGAGGGCCTAAGGGGAGAGGGTGGAGAGACAATCGGTGAACAAGGTGAATGAAGTGCAGTAATAACAACACCGACGGGTAGATATTAACCGGCAAGGCGAGCGGGTAGGAAAGGCACTAAGCAAGAATTATCTTTCGAATAAAATCGGCATCGAAAAACAAGAGACACCGACAACACCTGATTAATAATACCAACCGTCCTGCTACTTTTAGATAACTCGTACTGCTACGGGCAGTCGCATGCTAAAGTGACAGCTGTCTGTGTTAAGACTTACTGCCGTCTGTGTCGTGCTACCTCACCGTTCTCTCCCAGTCTATCCCTTTGTATATCGTTTATCTAGGACGATGGTGGCGTTAGACGCTGCTAGTTAGTGTCAATGTGTCGAGCCCGGCGCACTAGATCCGCTCGGATTGTACGAGAGGAGACGAATGGGAATAAAGGCCATAATGACCAGGGCGAAGGGAAAGACACAAGGGATTGCGGCAAGATGCGCGCGCATTACCCGCCAACTCCGGCTTAGTCTCCGAAGTAACTGTCTGCGTATTGAGTCCGTCTGCACGAGAATTGTCTGTGCCCGGAAAAGGGTAAGCAGGCAGCGGCAGTATATTCGTATCGGAGTTAGCGGATCGTCGCTGTGGAACAGACAGGTAGTATACTGCTGTTTTGGACAGACAGAAATGAGCGTATTCAGAATCGTCTGCTGAGGGAAAAGGGCTCTCAACAACTATATCAGGACGATATAGTAGGAACGTGTTACGTGTAGATAGGATTAGGTTGGAACTGCGAGAAATTTTTTGTACAATTTGAGTTTGTGTCGGTAAACTAAAAATGCACTCCAACGTAATCGTAGCGGTTCGATCAGAATAATATCGAGAGCTGTTAGCAGGTTACGCGTATAATAAGCATGTATTATTAATTGAAAGTATTTCGATCAAGAGGTTATTGCTATTCGATCTGTTTGATGATGAGAAAGATGCATGCTAGCGTTGCCAAGGGCCGCTAAAATGGAAGTTGTTATGCTCCTCACATCTATTGCGGACTTTTTTTTTTGAACTTTAAGAATTAAAATCGATTTTCTTAACTACAAAGTGTCTGGTGCAATATTTTCGTTTTAGTGCACAGGTTTAATAATTATCAAAATCTATTATCGTTCACTCGGACGGCCAGCGTTATATTGATTCCAAAATAACAAGGAATCGCGACGAGAATATCATTTGTGATTAGCCTATATTTTAAGCATTCACAGAGCGCTAACAATGATTTGCAAGATTGATTTATCGAATCCAAATTTTATTGAAAGAGAACTGTTTAAACACACGGCAATGCTTTCAGCTTTGAAACAATCTCAGGTGCTTGGATTGGGGAGGGTGCAATTGGTCATAAAGATGAAGTGAACGGACCGTTATCTGTGATACTATTAATAGGTTTAAACGGAGCGGCAAAAGCTGACAAGACAGATCCAAACGTGTCTCTACATGTGCCACGCGTACGAATAGGTCATTCGAAAATGTAGCTGTTACTAAATTACGTTTCTATATAACGTATATGCACCTATGCATTACACTATTCATCTACTGATCGAATTCACCTGATCGAATTCACGGATCAGTGAGGTTCTGGTGTGAAGCCTAGGAAGGTCCCAGAATTTGATTATTGTGCATATTGAAATATCGAATTGCTTTACGTAAAACAAAACACTTGTACAGTAAACTTTTTAAAATTGGCCTTTGTGCCATTTGTGCAGCAGCCCTAGTTTGCACATTGTTCTAACCTGCAACCTCAGCAGGTTTTGTACGGGAGAAAGATATGATCATTTGTAGTGACAGTAGAAATCAAAAGTGTATGTAAATTTAGTTCTATATATTACTGTTGTAGTATCGACCTTTATGCTGTTATTTACCGAGGCTCATCATAATCACTATCATCAGCCGCTGTTGCTGCGTTTGTTTATAGTGTGACTGGAAGACTGATAGAGATGTCGGTTCTTTAACTGCCATTTTTTCTCCTCAATTCGATGAACGATCTAACATTGATGAGGAGGGGATGCGCGATTGATTGCCGTTATTGTTGCTTGGCCAGCTTACGTAATCGTTTATCGATTGTTCACCGCGATGCTGCCATCTAGCAGCTGTTCACCCTGCTACTACTGCTCTTTCTTGCTGCGGTGAACGCAGTAATCGATCCCGAAAACATAGTGCGTCCTTTTTGATTATTGTCGCCGGTGGTGCCATTTGTCCACTTGACGTGTATGTGTGGAGCTTGCGTCGAGTCTGCCGTGTGTCCAACAACCGCAAGTCCGCCCTTGTCACCAGGTAGATTATGCGCGCGCCCCTGCAACGCGACGGCCAAGCACCGCCGACTGACTACCTGGCCACTAGTTTTACTAGTTCTATTATTACAAGCCTACGTGTTGTCAGCGGCACTGGAAGCGTATCGGGTAGTTAGCCGTCGGGTAATAGCCGTCGCTATTACGCTAGACACTGTGTGCGTCTGCTGCGTGTGGACCGCCATGGCAAGGTGCGTGTGTCTATGCTAAGTCTGTCGGCAGCGACCTCTATTGCTGTCGCAGCTGTGAGCGGTTACGGTTGGGCCGCTTCTGCTGATCGTGACGGTCTAGTTTCTTGATACCTCTACATCGTCGGAAAGATGAGAGCTGGAAAAAAGGAAATGAGAAGACCTGAAAGCGTCCGCCAGTACCGCGCCCGAACGTCCGCCCACCCGCCTGCCTGCGATAGCGGGCGGCCCTACTAACTCACTGGCTGTTGTCACTGGCGGTAGCAACTTAGCAAGGACGTCGAAACATTTGCTCTCGATTGCTATCTAACGCGGGTGTCAAGCGAAACCATATCAACACGAACCACGGAGCTGGAGGTGGCTGACCGACTGTCAGGCTATAACAAATCGACGAAACTACTCAATTATTATAGGAAATGATAGACACAACGAGCTATCATTAGTCGGCTGTATAACAACAACCACAAACGTAAGCTTTCATTTGTGCCACTACTGGCGCACATAACGACTGTTGCAGACGATGCTGATGTGATAATTGTCGCGACAACGATTCGGAAGAGTGAGAGGGGTGCAGTTCGTTGACGGAACCCGGCAATTGCGAAGCGGGTGGCACGATTATGTGAAATTGAATGGAAAAGTACACGAACCCGCGCATTATGAATGGATATACACTAAGGGCTGTGTGCAAGAGTAGAAGTAGCAGCGGCACAAAAACAACGATGTAAATCAGTGTCGATAATAGGCAGTTTAGCCTGAGTTAGCGTTGCTGAACCAAAACGATAGTTCTGGGTTCAAGAATCCGTTCAAGAACGGATAGTTCTGACCGACATTAGCTTTCATTGTCCTTATCGGCGGTAGAGATCGGACAAATCGATAGAAAGCCGACAAAAAATTGCTAGATTGAGCGAAGCAGTCGATTTCGTATTAACTTTTCTCTTAAGATCAAGCGCGTATACACAAACGCGCACAATAATAAGGACGAGAAATGATTGAGCCTGTGAAACTAAGTCGCTCTGACCAACGGAATAATATTGAATATTGTCAAGCTATTTGACAGCCAGTATTCGGCATTTTCTGAGCGAGTTTTGTGCTGCTGTTGGACACCACGAACAACAGCAGCAGCAGCAGCCGGGAGTCAAACTAGCTACTGAAGCTATTTTTTTCAATGTGAGCTAAAAGTTCACAGTACTACGAGGAAATTGGATGCGTCTTTTTTTATCGCGTCTTAACGCCACCAAGCCCTGTTCGATTTCCCTCGAATATCCTGTTTCCGTAGCAGAAACTTCTTGTTCCTTGCCTTCTCAAAGCGACAGCAAAAAACGCCGATTTTCCTGGCCCTTTCATTCTCCCTATATTTTTTGCTTTTGGTATTCTTTTCTACCGTGTGTGTGTATATGCATCTTATTGAAATACATCCGTTTGTCGTACATCGATAATTTAGTCTTTAGCTTTATTGCTAATTTAGCTTTATTGCTAACTGCTGCTGCTGGGGCGGAGATGTTGTAGAAAAAAGGAGGTAGACAAGCCCGAGTGTTTGCCTCTTCGGGGGTAGCGGCCGCAACTGGGGCAACGACATCTCTATTCAATTACTTAAGTGGACCAACGATTTTCGGCGGTAGTATCAGCCGCAATGCCCTGTCAGTAAGTTTCCCCAACTGAAGCGACTCTTTTAACAACTGTGACATGAGCAACTTAAACGAGTAAAGGACGGCGTACCACTGAAAGTGCCACGGCGCTTATCTACGCCTCTGTCTTTTACCATTCCGTCGCGTTCAGCCGCCGCTGCTGCCATCGGTGCCGCTGTTCAACGAAGTTTCGTAGTTGGTTCAACTCTTCAGAAAGAGGAAGATAGACCCACATGGAAACGAGCGCTCAGAGAGTAAAATGGAACTAATAGAAGAGATGTATGATGTCGCTTTTGGTGCTAATATGCAATCGGTACACAAGTTTTACCATTCATTTGCTTGCTTGTGTTAGGCCTTGTCGGCGTCGTGTGTGTCGACGATGCTTGCCACGACCGTCGGAGTTACTACGGCTGTGTGGTGCGAAGGAGGGCGCCGCGGTAGGGGAACTAAGAGAGTGGGAGGGAACGAACACAAAACATTGCTGCGTATGCTGAACGTCATGCGGCGGCTTGCGTGCCATGTGTCGTGCTCCGGTGATTGTTGTGCGGGGTACCGCCGTCTTAGTTGTTGTCGACGAGCCTAAGTAGTTGTTGGTTGTCCGCTTCAGTTTGCTTCGTACACATTGGCGACGGATGGCGGACAGATAGAGTTCGACACAGAAAATCCCGACGAGTCGCAGCGGCTGCACCGGCAACAGCAGTACCTTCAAGACTACTTTTATCACGGTTATTACTGTTCCTGCTGCTGCAAAAATACCACTAGCGCCACCATCACGATTCTATCCAGCAAAAGGCATTATAGCATTGTCGTCATCGAGTAGGAAGCTTTGGAAGGAGAAAGCCGATGGCAGGTGTTTAGCCTAGACGGCTGCTTGACATGCGACTGCTGGTAACAATAATAGATAACAAGTGCGGAAAGAAAGTTCTGACCGCCGGGTAGAGCAGTAAGCTGGGTCGCGACGTCGGAGAAGAAGCGCAGCCGATACCGAGCTGTGCTAGTTTATGCCACTGCTGCTGTTTGGGTTGCTGCTGCTCTGATGGCAGTCGCGGCTTTCTGAGGGAGTGCGGGCCGCCGACGTCGACGGCAGTGGCAGCAACGGTGAAGTGCCTCTCGCTACTACGCTACTTCAGTTGCTGTGGTTGCTTATGCTGCTACTACAGCAGCTGCTGCTGAATTGGTGAGAGAATAAAAGAGCCAAACAAGCTAGTACTACCACAAATGTATATCTGCATACCAGTGACTGACTCTGTCGCACGTCCTCTTGGGCCGTGTCGTCGCGGGAACCGCGAGTGACCGACAATGTTAGTGGCGGGGAGCCGAACGAGTCAAACCAGCTACAAACATAAACGACGATGTTATAGCGACTCGCGCTCACAAGAGCCGGAAAGCAGCAGACGTCAACGACGACGATGGGACAGAGTGGACTGAGAAACGGATGGCTGGCTAGTCGGACGGCCGGGTAGACCACTAGTGAAAGAGCAAACGAATCAACAGATGAACGAACGAGACGACCGATAGCCGCTTTTGCGGCGTCGACTGAGCTTGCTGATGCGGTCGCCACCGTCGTCGTTGCTGCTGCTGCCTCTGTATCGAGCACCAGCAGCAGCAGTTCTGGACAACCAACACCAACAGCATTCGGCGACGACTACTGACTTCAAAACGAACGATGTCAACAGATTTATATATAGCATAGATTGTTGGTTAGTTGGTTGATGGCAACGAAAACAGGGACGAATAAATGGATGGTAGACCAATGCCGCTCGGGTTGTGGATTTAATGGTATAATACATTACGACAACGGCTAGAGACGACAATAACGTCGATTGGTGAGAGGATAAAAAGTACTACTAAAGTGGAAGATGATGGCAGGATTGGGACAGCGTCGTCTATGACCTGATGGTAGTAGTCGTGCTGATGGCGGCGGCAGCAGCAACAACAACAGCAACATCAACGACAACAACAACAACAGCGGTGGTGGTGATGCTGATCATGATAATTGGCATGGTGGCAATATTGTGTTGGTTACTCGTGAAGTCATACGAAATGAAGCCACCGGTGGGTGATGTCGAAAGCAGCACCATTGGAAGCAAATAAAGCTGATAACCCTGTGAGATGTGTTTGCGCTTTATACCACTACACAGTTAAGTCGCTGCCATAGAAGAAAAGTTGGGGTCAGCCCGGCGTATTCCTTCGTTCTGCGCGGGAGTGCTTCACATGTTGAGCGTGTAGAAGCAATTGTTTTATAGAAAATAGTCGTAGTGTATTCGCGGCGGTCGAGTAATCAATCCTTTCTTACCTGCGCGATACGATTAAGGCAAAAGGTGTATTGTTATTGCAACTAAGCCGAAATGGGTGGCTCAGGGAAGATTTTTCCATGATGAAGTCCTCTCGAAGTTTTCATCGCTTATAGCGTTTTATCAACAACATACTGGTGCAAGATGTTGGTATATGGAACCTGGGGTATATATGAGTAAACTGTATGCATAAATTAACTGGGGAGAACTTTACCACTTGATACTTTATTTTTAAATTACTTCATTACGGCAATTACGTAATAAAGCGAATTAGTTGACTGACGAAGATCTATCTAAATCTAACGTCCAAGACGTATTGATATAAATTAGAGAACACATAAAAAAGACAGCTATAGCCAGTAAATGTTTCAGATACATCTGTATCGGGAACATTTACTGGAAATGTTCCCGATATTTTATTTTGTTTATCATTTTTTTGTGACTTTTTTGTCTGTAAAATTATCAAATTGTGTCATGAAATCGAGCCGAGATACGTAACTATAGAGAATTGTCTGTAATAATTCTTTCTGACGAAATGAAAAACGAAAGTCACGTTATCGTATCCGTTTGTTTTATTATCGATCTAAATATTGTCATCTTAATTATTCCATGCGGGTAGCTATTCTTGCTTGTGACACTCGGACTATGTCGCCCACGTTACATGCATGACGTGAACGACACAGCCTACAAGACGTGTCTCCTGCGTACCATTATTATTACCACTACTAGTAGCGTGGAGGACTGTATTCGAAAAGGAACGAGTCTTTATGGAGCTCAACGGCGGTATCCAAGCCCGCGCGGCTTCGCATTGCATCACTTTTGGAGCTATCCGCGCTGATCAATGCATATTATGTTTTGTGGTGGTGATGGCAACTGAATGTGTCGTGAGTTTCACCATAGCTTAAGAATACACAAACAAAACGTATAGATATGCAGACTACTGGCATACGTGTACGATCGGTTAACCAATATTGCCGAAATATATCACTTTCCTACTAACTTAAATAATAATTGTGTCACGTTGTACCGTCTGCTGGTTGTTCGTTGATTTAGAATGTGCAACAGTGATCATTCAGTTCGCAAAGCATTTTGTTGGATTCGATGGATATTTCTCAAAACAGAGCGGCTATGGAAAACAGGGTGGGGGTAACTCGCGGCAGTGTTGGATTTGCTGGGCTCTTCTTAACAATATCTGCCGATGTTCATGTCGTTTCTGCGGCTGTTATTGTTGCTGACGATTCTACCGGGGCCGCAAGGGCGACGGCACTGTCCGTCTGTTTGACCGGGTATCAGTGTACGTTGCTCTAGATTGTTTGGAAATCGGAATAACAGTTGTCTATCGGTAGGAATAGATAAAAAAAAAAAAAAAAACAGGCTTGCATAGTCATTCATAAGGACCACCATAGTATACTTTGTGGTTGTTTGATTTCAGCGGCAATAAGGCCGTCGTCTTCGTCTATATCCGTCCTATGGCAAAGTTCCTGCAGCTGTAGGCTGTATAAGCAGGATGTTGAGCGCGGGCAACAGACCCAATTAAATGCGAACTGCTGATCCAAAATGAAAGTTACTGCTACTGAAATGACGTGTTTGGGTGCAATGTATCGTTATCACAACTGCAGGTTGTCCTGCATCACCGTGCCGTGTGGTACGACTGATATATTACAAAGGTCAACTGTTCTCGCTTTGTCGTTAGCCCTAACAACAACAATAATAGGGTTGTTTGCGGTTAAAGCGGGCCAAACTGTAACGAAAGTTCGTTCGCTGTACGCTGCATTGATCTGTGCGGCATAAGAAGATATGGTACAGTCTCTATAATCAACCTGTCGGTAATGGTATTGGCGTTGCGATCGGATAGTTTTGCCAAAAAAGATGAAACCAACAAACTGAGAAAGCAAAAACCTCGGAGGGAAAACATGTTCTTAAATGCTTACGGGTTGGCTTGTGGATGAGAGGCGCAGAAGAAATTTCAGCTTTTTTTCTGTTCGTTTGGCCAGTGCCGCTTTGTTCCAGTTCACATGTCGGGGTTCTTCCCGGCTTTTGCATTGAGCCAACGATTGCATAGGAACAAGCTTTCTACCAAACACTAAACTGTGAATGAATAAATCAAAAAGATGTTTCTAGAAATTATAATGACCGATTCTACCTAGTAATTGACCACCAGGTCTGTTGAAATCAATGCAATTGTCGCAGTTGATCCGACGACGCTTTCCAAGGAAAATTCAATTACCGCTCTTACCTGTTCGACTCTTTCATGTACAGGCAACTTATTTATTTCAGAAGCAAATTTCCTTTGAACACTACATTGGTAATCTAAAAAAAAATCAAAAAATGAGATAACTGAGCAGAAATCAATCTGAAATGTCACGTCGAAAAGGTGACGTATTTGAGCGATATAGAAGAGTACTGTTCGACTGACACTTGAGCACGTCTATAACAGCTGACGGTTTTCTGCATCTGTCGGGTCCTACAGAGAAAAGGATCTATCAGCAGTGCAGGCATTATCCGGTCACATGGCCTTCGTGTTAGCCTACTCAATAACGGTACTATCCTTCGTTTACCTAGTTAACGAAATATTGGCAGCTACTGACGTCGAACTTTGACGGAATTCGTAGGACACTATGCTTTTCAATAGTAAATGAATATCCAAATATGATAATAGCTAGGCCGAAGTAATAATTTCGACGCGAGTAAAAAATTTTCGAGTAATAAATACGACTGTTGCACAGTCTGTATTTTAAGAACTCAGGCGTAGTCTCACAGGTCCCAGTTTCAGGAAGGGTGATCACTATTCTGTTAATGATTCCTCTACAATCTACTAATTGAATATGATTGTGTTTATGCATACGTATTAAGCCATTCTTTTCTTTCTCAGACTTTTTTCTAATTGCGATGTTCTCTTTTTTTTTTTATTCTACAGGAACTGTAACTTAAGATGTATCTTTCCCGATGCTGTGCGTCTGTTGATCAAGAGCAGCACGTCGCGGTTGTGACTAGCAGCTCGGAGCCCAGCTCAACATTGTCAGTTGATCGGTTAATACGAACGACAGAAAGGACCCAACAGGGCGCGGTGGGAAGCGGGGAACAGCAAGACAACGGCGGCCTGCCGCAGGGAACCGGTCAGCAGCCCGAGGTGGCCAAAGCGGAGCTATGACAAGTTTAGGCAACCCGCTTCACCCGGGGGTTGCTGTTGCTACGTCGACAACATCAGCTCTTCCCACGCCGCCGTTGCTTCCCCATGAAGAACATGAGGAGCTGCGGCGAATCCGGCGTGAGGGGGTCACCGTTTCCCGCCGTGCTACGGTACGGCCACCAATAGCCGGGGGGTCCTTAGGACAAGTTCACTATCAACAGCAACATCAGCAGCAGCAACAGCAGCAACTTCATCACCAACAACAGCAGCACCATGGGCCCACGGTAACAGGCGCTGGCGGCGGTGGCCGGGAACCGCCAGGTGTCCATTTAAGTGGTGGACATCATCAACGGGCAGGTGGAGCAACAGCAGCAGTTGTACATGGACTTGGGGGTCGCGTAATCGGTTTAGGAGGCGGGGCAGGTTTAGGTGTTGGGGTTGTTGTTGGTGCGGCAACAGCTTCGGTTACTGGGACAGCTGTCGGTGTTGGTGGATTTGACGATGATGCTGGTCATCATAGCGATGACACCGAGGAGACACTGTCGAGTTCATCGAAGGAGCCTTTGCCAGATTCCGATGGCGAGACAGAGCTTGAAAACCCACGACGAGCGCTAAACACAGCGGAGCTGCATCCCGCTCAGCGCACCACACAGCTAACATCTGCCTCTCTTCAACAGCATCAACAGCAGCACCAAGCCCATCATCACCACCAACACGCGACGACAACATTGTCGGCTTCGTCAACGAGTAATAACAGTAACAGTACTACAACTACAACGGGACTGCTTCAACAGCAGCAGCAGCAGCAACGTCACCATGTGACGCCGACGCAGCACCGACAAGGTCCTTCGTTCCGACCATCTCCCTTGCATCACCTTAACAACAATTCGCATAACACACAACAACAACAGCAGCAGCAACACCATCATCACCCTCATCACCCTCATCACCCTGTACAGCAGCAACATCAAGGTGTAACAACACATGTAGTTTCGGCAGCGGCGACAAATCATCTCCACACGACCACGGCGTCGACGTTATCGGGAGCGTCCACCGTCTCAGCAGCAGCGACAGCCGGCTTAACCGCTGGACCACATCAGCACAGCTCGCACTATCCAAATCACCATCCCCATGGCGCCGGAATCGGCAGTGTCAGTGTCAGCACCGTGGGCGACCATCATCGTCAGCAACAACATACGATAGGAGGCCATCACCATGGGGTTGCTGTCCCCCATCCACAGACGCATCAGGCTCAAACACAGCAGCAGCAACAACCGCAGCAGCAGCAATTGCCGAAGCAAAAGCAGAAGCAGCCACCGGGCCAGGGTCAGGCGGCGCGACGTGCGCGAGCTCCAGGCGTAACGAAAACGGTGACGTTTGCGGCCCCCACGGACGACGAGGAGGCGGCTGCTGCGCTTCTGCTCTATTGCCATAACACAATGCAACATCAGAGTCAGGCGCATCAGGCGGCCGCTGCAGCTGCCGCTGCGGCGCAACAACAAACAGCGACAGTAACAACGACGACAGGTGGTCATCCAGCAAGCGGAAATGTAGCAAGTGCTGGTGGAAATGCGGGAAGCGCTTCGCTTCCAGGCGCGTACTCGCTGAACCACCATAAATCTAAAGCGACAGCGGTTCATTCCGCAGCCGCTGTCAATACACCTGCCCCGTCTGCTGGTAGCGCAGGGAATCTAAGCGGTCTGGCACTTCTAGCTGGTGCTGCAAACCAACCGACAAGTAAACGCGGCGGGGCAGCTTCACTAGAAGGATTTTACAATTATGGGACGACGAATCACCACCAGCCGGCCCCGACGCCTACACCGCGCAAAGCTCATATAGGTTTGCCCTATCAGGACCATAACTATGGCGCGCCTCCACCGCCTACGCCTCCAGCTTCGCCGCCCCCTCCCTTCTCGCCACGGGTGGCATTCGAGGATGAGCGCGCTTTGTCATCGCTTGCGTCACTGCAGCGTCATTCGCATTCAGGTGGAACCGGTTTTTCGCATCAGGCCCAGACATCAGTCGCGTCCGGAGCAACTGGCCAAAGTCACCATCATGGGCATTTGCATCATGGACAAGGCACAAATGCGCATAGCCATAGCCATACTGTACAGGTCCATTCCACAACTGCTGGGTCACATCATACAGGCGGGCTGGGGGGTCGGGGAGCCCGAGCTTCTACGCTTTCCCCACAACAGTCGCATTTGTCTTCGGCGAGTTCAAATACGACGACAGCGGCAACCGCCTCTCTAAATCATAGCGTTGTTCACCATCCCCACCATCAACAGCATGTCACTACACCACGGGAACAGCACGGCTCGACGAAGAGTTCTTCGATAAGCGCAAGCAGTGCAGCATCAGTGGTTGCAACGATTAGTGCGGTAGCCTCCGCCCGCGACATTACCACCTCAGGAGGGAGCCTCAATAATAATATCGGCAATAATAGCAGCAGTAACAACCACAACAACAGTATAGGTAGCCATGCTGGGGGTGTTCGGACGTCGTCGACGGTGACGATACCCCAGAAACGTGAGTCTGCCGCCAGTGTTATCTCAGGGGCACACAGCGATGTGACGGCAAAAAGTGCCAGTACGGCTGGAGGCGGCGGGATGGGTCCAACAGTGAGAGAACAAAAGGGCCTGCTTAGGCAACAGAAAAAGCGGCGGAAAAAAGAGCTGGACTTGTCGGCTCAAAAAGAAGCTACTACGCAGGTACTCCATGAGTCGGCGAAAGTTGGGGGACGGCAAAGTCGGGAGGGTCGAACAATCGCGTCCGCAAGTGGAATCGACGCAACAGAAGTGGGTGCAAGGCATCCAGCGACACACAGTGGACATGAGAACACGCGTCACGCAACGACGAAAGCTCATTCCGAACCGAACAGAAAAGACAGGCAAGACTGGGCTGAAGGTGAAGAAAGCATCACGAGATGCGTTTGGTAAGTATACGCAATTATACAAAACGTTCTGCTAATCGAGTACCTATAATACTTCTAGAATCACTGTTATTATAACTTTATTATAGTTACACATTTGTAGAATGGGTCCAATACATATGGGTCGTCGTTTCTTTAAATTGTATATGTTTTTATATGTATTCTTTAACATAAGTTATATGTATGTGTGTATGTATTAAGGTTTATTAATTTCACCTTTTATTCTATATGTTTACAGCGGGTTTAATCATGATGACGAATATATGATCTGCTGCGATGGTTGTGGAGTTTGGCAGCATGTCGAGTGTATGGGTCTTGACAAAAACCACATACCTGACACATATTACTGTGAGTTATGTGTACCCCGGAAAGTGGATCGGAACCGTGCGAAAACATTACAGATTCGCAAAAAGGACAAACTGTCTCCGCTGCGGGGCGGTGATGGGTGTGATACAGCAGATGTTTCAGGAATGTCTCCCAGAGTTTCACCTGGAACAACTTCCTCAGGACAGACTGAAGACCATAAGTAAGTGAAACGCTAAACTAATGCTGAAAGGCTAGAACAACTTTGCCGGGCTATCTAAAATATTGTGACATACCTGCTTTAATTGTATATTTATGAATTTCTGACTAATTGTTATTTTCTGTCTGTTGGTATTTAAACGCGTGCAGTACGAATGGTTTCCTCGATGTTGGCATGTCGGAACTCAACAACCTGCCTAATGGCCTAGCTAAAAAACATTTCAATCGGCGGTTCCTAAAAACGAAACAACAACAACTTCTCAAAGGTCTTCGTGGTCGTGGAGCTGGGAACCTTAAAGGAAAGATGAAGGAAATGAAAGAAAAGTGTCCGCGGAACTTGAAGTCGCCATTGTCATCGCCTCATGTGTCACCCAGCTCGACAGCCACAAGTCCCGGCAAAACGTCAAAAGGGGGCAAGTCGCAAAATCGTGCAGGTCTCAAGAATGGCAAAATTACTGCTCAGAGGAAGCTGCTTGCTCAGGGAGCTTTGGCGAAGCTGCGCAGTGGCGGAGCTGGTGGAACGGACAAAGGGGGCCCACAAAGCGGCAAGGGCTTCCATCACAACCTGCCGCTTGTTGACGACGATGACGACGATGAAGAGGATGATGTAGATAACGTAGGCGATAGCGAAGTTGGTCACCCGATGGTCGGTGCCCATAGACGAAAGGGGCAACACCATGACGATTATTACGAGGAAACGCTAATCAATCAGTACACCCCCGAAGTACAGATCCTGACACTACGAGGCAACTCGGCAGCCCAAGAAACGCTTCTTAGGAGAATACTAGCCATGTCCTCGGCTAAACCCTACCGGTACGTAATAATGTATTGAACTAGCAGTTGACTAATTTGGAATTCTAAGAGTTCAATATCGGTTGACTCATTTATGTAGAGGTTAAAATTTCGTCTACTTTCTTCGAGTAAATGAGAAGTCTCTTGGGTCTATTATAGGTGATCCAAGTACAATTCACCTCTTTTTAACAGTCTTTAACACCGTTCGGGCCTCATATTCCTTTCTTTATTGGGCAGGTTATGCGACCTGGGGGAGTCGAAGGGGTTGGTGTGTATTGAAGAGCTAGAGCCAGGTTACCCAGTGGCGGAGGTTCGTGGCCGTTTTATGATCATGGACCAGTTCAATGGTAACAAACGGCGCGCCCAGCCACACGTGTTGTTTTATTCGCCAACGGGCCGTCCCCTGTCGCAGCAGAAGCCGGGCGGCGGCCGAGAGGGGGCGGCATCGTCCGATGATGACGCAGATGACGATGACGACGACGACGATGAGGAAACGCTTTGTGTTGACGCGCGTCGATGCGGGAGCGAGGCGCGAGCCGTGCGTCGATCATGCCGACCGACAGCGGAACTAAGACACGTACTGCAGAACGGTTTGTTGCAGCTGTGGCTCGTGGCGGGGCCCCGCGGACTCGTGAGGGACCAGGAGGTATCGATCGCGTTCGAGTTGCCGCCTGCGCCGGGGGTTGAGTGTGCCTGTGGCCGGGCAGCACCTGTATGCCCCTACGGTACGTCCGTAGCAAGCCCATCGACGCTTTCATCTAACACAACCAATAGTGCAACTACGGTTAGTGTGACCACTTCATCAGGGAAACTGAGTCGACCGGCAAAGCAACAGCAGTTGCACCAGCAACAGCATCACGCGACGACAACGGCGGCAACAACAACAGCAGCAACGGCGGCGACAATTGCAGCGGCGACAACAATAACCCCGCCATCACAGCGGCAGCTTCCGCAGCAGCACGTTAACCCGCAGGTTGGCCAGCATGGCCAGCAGCATGGTGGTCCGACCGCTCAACCAACAGCTCCCAGTCGTCCTAAAAAGCTTGCTCTGTAAGTATAGATTTTTGAGGAGTACGAACGGTTAAAGTGAAGAGCCACGTTCGATCGATTAGTAGTGTTGTAGTAAAGTTTGGAAAGGTGTTATACAGCTATATGCATATTAATATGTAGAATGAGTTACTATCATATTATATATCACAGAAACGTTGATTTAGGCAATTTTTTTCCCAGTATTTCAATACTCTGATGAAATGCGTTGCAATGTTTATTACTTTTATTATTTTTTTTGTTTCAGTCTGGAACGTAAGCCGTCAGTGAATCTGCGAACCGCTTCGCCCCCTCCGCTTACCAATTCTCCGATCACTCCAATCATTCATAGTAAAGGATACCCTACTTTATCGGCTGGACAGTTGGCCCACCAAGGCCAGGCCCAGTCATGTGTAACACCGGTTCCACAGTCTCCTGTCAAAATTAAGGAGCAGAAAGATTTAAAAGAACATTTAAAAGAGCTGAAGAAAGAATCGAATGAGTTAACGACGTCGAGTCCTGTTGCATCACAAACAAGCACCCCTGTATTGCAGGCGACAGTAGGCAGCAGTGTAACTGTCAGCGTGAAAAAGGAGCCTGGCATAGACGAGACCGATGACATGATCGAGGTAGATGAAACAGCAACCAGCATTTCTACTGTGGTCGTGCGACCAGTATCGCCCGCAAAGGCGGTCGCGGTTCGGCGAAGGCGAACTTCGTCGTTGGCAGCCGAAGTCGCCGTCAAACAGGAAGTTGGCGAAGACCTTGATGTCCAGACGGAAAAAGCGGACGCTGTGGCGGCTTCAAGCCACGATGGCGTCCACTCGATTACGGTTCACAGTGAAGAAAAGGAGAGGGATCATGGATCTGGGCGAAAGATGACGCGCGAAGAGCGCAAGCTCGACGCCATCATGCGCGCATTTGAAAAAATGGAACAAAAGCAAAAACGGAAACAGCAAGATCATAAACATGTGCCCGGTAAGGACAAGGATGACAGACGTAGGTCAAGCGGTAGTGGACGTACAGCGGGAGCCAGTGTGGGAGCTAATGAAAGTTCTTCGGACAAACGACCTCCGTCCACCGGTGGAGACGCTGCAGCTTGCCCAGCTCCTGGGCAGAGCAGTTCCAAGAAGGGCCGTCGCAAAAGTTCGTCTGGTACGCCGATGAAACGTGGCCGAGCGAGAACTACTAGTGGCTGCTCAGACACGAATAATTCGCTGAACGCTAAGGACAGCAACGCTTCGAACGATTGCTTTGCTCAGCCAGCAAAATCGAAGCGCCTGCTCATGCAGGGCTGGCTGCAGGAGAAGCATAACGGAGCAGAGCTGTCCTCTCCGGGGGGCGAGTCACCTTCGACTGGGGCAAGCACCCCTAACCAGGAGGGATACAACAAAGGCGATGAGTCGGTGTGCTTCGTGCGGGAAAGCCACAGCGTCGCAAACGCGATGGCCCATCTACGGAGGAGCAGTTCATTGTCGACAACGGTCACTGGCCAGGTGAGTCCGGGAGGTGGGCCTATCGGGCCATCCGTTGGAGTTAACAGCAATTGTGGTGCAGGATCCGCTAAGAAACGTTGGCTAAGACAAGCTATGTGTGACGACGGAGATAGCACCCCTGAAGCTCCGAACTCCCCATCCAACATTGGTCAACTTCCAAGCCAGCTGCCGACGGCGTCCCCAACGACAGATGCACCAGGATTGCTGGAGGAGGACAACCATCACGAAAGTGGCCATGCTAGCGGTCCCGATTACGTGACTCCGCTCAAGAAGCGCCGTTTAATGCGTGAGTCTGTGGACAGCGCTAGTCCCATTCACGACTCCCCCCATCGGAGCCCACATGAGTCCATTAACGATGAACATGACGAGGAAGAGAAAGAAGAACCGAAACGATTGGATGAAGAGACATCAAACGTCGACGTGGTTCAGATCGGCACGCAAAATGAGCCATTGGTTAAGCGACCAACCGTCGTCAGCACTGCCAGCGAAGAAACTCAGGACGCACCGGAAGTAAGCACAAGCAAGGAGGAACATGAAAAAGAAGGCAATCATAAAGAATCTACTCTCACAGAGTGTCCTGTGTCGATTATAAAAGACGGCAAAAGTATTGATGAGAAGGATGACGTTGATGACGAGAAAGACGATGAGCTGGTTGTAGATCTTGGTGATGAAATAGCCCCCAAGTCGTCAGAGCTGAATGAGGTGTTCTGCAAATTGGGCATTTTTGAACCACCAAAGGCCGACACCGCAACCGACATAAACATACTCAAAAAGAAACCGTCCGAAGAGTCCACTGATTTAGGCGTACAAGCAAAGAGTTGGCCAAACGACCCCAGTGACAATTTAGATGAAGAAAGTGAAACCAGCAAGCAGCGGCAGACAGCGGCGAAAGATAAATATCTGAAAAGGGAGAAAGAGGTTAAGTTCGCTAACGAACCCGAAGTGAAGGAGTCTAGCGTGAAGGAAAAGGAGCATAAGATGTCAAAAGAAAAGGACACCAATGCTAAGGATTCAAGGGATAAAATTAATAAAGATTCAAAGACCTGCCAGGTACTTTTGCCTAAGGAGCCAAAATCACCGAAGGATCTGCCAAAGGAAAAGGATGTAAGGGAGAACAAAAAGTCGGTCAGAGAGACGAATAAACCACTTAACAAGTCGGATAGAGAATCCAAGTCGATCAGAGAAAAGGAGCAAAAATCTCCGAAAGAAAAAGAGAGTAGATCACCGAAGCCGAAGGAAACGTCGTCCTCAAAGAAAGACTTGAAAAGGACCACCGAAAGAGAAACAGTAGTGACGGCCGTGGCCACGGTAGCCCCCGAAACTGCTGATCCATTTTCGCGCGCTTTAGTCAAAGAGGATTGTCGACCGAAGGATAAAAACGTAAAGGACAAAAAGGAGAAGCACCGCAAGGAGCGCAAAGACGAGAAGCGTGGTAGCCGGGATTCAAAGGAAAGGAGCTCGGTGGACGAACCTGTTGAGGAGCCCAAGTCAGCGTCGAGCACAGACGGCATGGCCCAAGAATCGCAAGCCAGCTCACCGACCTTGTCGAAAACCAGCGAGACCGAGGGCGAACTTCACGAGACAACTGACAACAGTAATCTCTCTTCCCAACAACAGCAAGAGCATGTTTCTATTCTACCGGCGATCACAGAGGCGCGCGTGGTCGAGGCGCAAGTGAACAGTGCCAGCACTGAAAGCACTTCGGAAGACAAAGGGGAGCGGCCCGTTGAGGAGACGGAAGTGGAGCCCCCAAAGGCAACAACAACCGCAAGTGATTCGTCATGGGAGCAGCCTGCCCAAATATCCGGTAAGCTTTTACCACTAATTTTTTTCGGAGTTCTTGGTTTTGAAAGAGTACTCGAGAATATATACGGTCGTGCCAAAAAAGCTTAAGTGCGTCTATATGTATATTTCATTTGAAGTATTATCGTAAATCAGCCGCTAATGTCAATTATTTTTACACTTGGTAATACAGAGGCGTCCGGAGGCGACGAGGCAACGGACTGCGATGGAGAGGAAAGTGTGGCGATGGATGGGGCGACTACGCCCACCCTGGACGAGATGGAAAACGATGATATGTCGGCAACGGCTGACGAGGGGCACTCTGATGGACGTCTCCCTGATGCACCGGTTCGCCTTCCACCTTCCGAGGCTCTGAAAGCACCGTCGTCTGTGAGCGTTACACCTTCACCGACAACCCAACAGGCGCAGCTCACAGAATCTGCTACTGTCGTGCCTGCACCAGCTCGTGACCGGAAAAAGCGTCTCAGCCTATCGGAGTACCTTAAACGGCAGCGGTCAGAGCCTGGTCCGCCTATTTTGACAGGACCTCCCACTACCAACAACAACAACAACAACAACAGCCTTCTACGTTCTCCTATTAGCTCAGGGCCTATCAAGCTGGCGCCTATCTCAAAAGAGCTACTTGGCAGCTTTGCCAAGCTCGCTGGTGGAGCCGGATCAGGGGTTAAGACCGCGGGAGTAGCCCCCATTTCGCCGATGTCGCGTAGCAAAAGCATTTCGGATCCAACTAGTCCTCTTTCACACCTCCCATCCACTATTCGGTCTAGTAAGTATAGTTACTGTCTGGTTAAGACAAACTTCGATTGATAAGAACTGTGAGGTTTGACATTATTGAAACTTAACGTTAAATTTGACGTTTGCGTTATGGAGGATTGAAAGCACCAAAATAACCGCTAGACAGTGTCTTGGCTCGGTAGATTTCGTGGCTTCTGATAACTATTTCCGTGCCTGCGTGCGAAGTATATCTGTTAGTAATGTTATTGTGCAATTCGTTCTTGCGCCTCGTATCGCGTGCTTAGGTCTGCCTGCCGCAGTAACGGCGCCGCCCATGCAGCTCCTAAGTCTATCGGCGAGTGGCTCGTCGGCACTGCACAAGTCGGCACTGTTCCCGGACACCCCAGAGCGAGATCGAGATCATCACGTTGGAGATGGCGGCACATCGGCGGTATCACTGGTGGATCCACCCGTACCAAAGCGGCGCGAACCTCTTACGCAACGTCTGCGACGTGAGTTTGGCCTTCTGGCGCCTAACGACAATCTGGAAGGCCTTGGCGGCGCTGGTGCGTCGTCCTCCGCAGCGCCTACTGTTGTGACTCCCGGTAGCTATACACCGCACGGAGCCGCCAATAGCTTTCCGACAGCAACCGTGCAGACGCCCAACGGACCTCAGCAGGTTTACTACGTGCCCCAGCCAGCCAGCGGTCAGCCATTATGTCCAGGTATGACCGCAAAACAAGCTGGCCCACTGAATCCACTCAGTGTGGGCGCTTCAACGGGCAGCACCGCAGCGCGTGGCTTCAAAGCATCTGGTCCTTTACCGCCGACAAGGCCTCGCACGAACACCAGCGGAGCGAGCGCCGGATACAAACCAGGCTACTATTAAAACTTCGGAAGATGGCAAGGTTTTAGCGACAGCGACAAATTGAAATAAATTGCAGTGAAAGCTATAGATAGTAGTAGCAATTACGACACGAAAGTAGATGATGGCGACGATGCTGAGGAACGATGGTGGTGAAAACAATATAGTGGCAAAGCTGGTTATGATCGACAAATAGAGAAATCAACGGGATAGAAAGCAACGTGCGGTACAGGAACGTATGTTAGCTGTAACAACACGATGAACAATACACGACAGTAACATGGTCAGCAACTCAGGACTCGGAGTTCTGCCAGTGTATGTAATCTATTCGGCAGATGAAACACTTATGCCTACCCACAGGCAACGGTTCCAGTCAACTGGGGGCCGAACACACCCTTCAGGCGATTATGTACATAACGAGAAGGAACCAGGTTCGCAATGCTGGATGCTATGAAGGGCGAAGGTCGAAGGGAAATACGAAGAAGATAAAAGGGTGAAAGAAGGTGAGACTAAAAGAGAAAATGTTATACAGATGACTTACGTGCGTGATCACAAAAGATGAAAACACGAAAAAAAACTAAAGAAAGAACGAAAAATAAATTCAACCTATCGGTTGATCGAAGCTACAGAAAACCACGTCTCGAAAGTCCTGGTCGAATCCTGGTGGGAGACGAAGGATCAGAACTACTCAACGCACGTAGCCGTCATACACTCATTCAACGTTAGAACGTCATTGCAAATAGCCCCTATATTCAACTCTTTGAAGAGACGTGCAGAGAACAACATCCATGACGATCTTGGCAATTACACATTGATGCATATATCACAACATAATACATTACATTGCAACAGTAACAACCGATCAGCATCTGTATACTATTCATAAACGGGACAGAAAACGGACGTACGATGTGCGTGCACCGCGAATGTCGTCGCGCTCCTGAGCTTGCTTCATCTCTGGCGGATAGAGAAATAACGGGAAATGATGGAATAGAAGTAGCTCCTAACAAACTTTGACCTTGACATATTAATGCAATGACTGGCTCAATTTATCCTGATAAAACAGAGGCGATTGCTTTTGCCGTCTGAATACATAATAATATATGGAGCGCGGGTACTGACAGGTGTCATGCAGATCGTCACACATTATATATACATCAACATATATATATACGGAGCAAACGTGTCCCGGCGCTGGGACGCGGAGGACAGCAAACAAAATACATTATTATTATTACAAAGAGATACTACTATTATTACATATTATATATATATATATATATATATATAAAACTACTATTATCTATTATTATTAATTATATGTGTAAATATAGTGTACATTGTAAGCCGGCCTGGAAAAGAAAAAATTAACAGTAATTGTAAGAGAGCGAGAGAAATAGAGCGAAATGGAGGAAAACTGTTCGATGAACAGAGATATGAAGTGTACTAACTTGGCGGTCGGAAAACGGCCCAGACTGGCGAACTCGAGATATAAGGCGCATCAGCAGCGACGCGCTGTAAGGAGAACCTGGAGAGAATGGCGAGGACAAACATGAATATATAAATATAAATATATATATATATATATATAAGTCGGTGAATGGGTGCTGGATGGCTGTTGTAAATAGGGAACGTGCTGGAAAGCCGTTAAACGGGATAATGGGATCCCCGGGGGTAAGTGAGGGGGAGTCGGAATTCGTATAGCGAACTCGTTTATCCGTCGATGACAGGTCATTCAGCCGTCGCGGATATGTGCGTTTGTGTATGTGTGTGTGGCCTGCTGATTGGTTAGCGATAAGCGCGGTTGTCCCAAGAATAGCTAATTTAAAAATGTATGATGTATGAATATACAGTTTTCGGTCACGAATTTGTTAATTGATATGTTAATTTATCGATTAGCCAGAAAGTTGAAGGCTACGAGCAGGCCACTCGCTTGTGTTGGTTTTCACTTCGGCGAAAGTTCATCTCATAGTTAGTTCATGTTTTGCCTGAAGAATGCAAAATATTGGAATTAATACGAAATTATCTCGTAACAGGAGTTGTCAAAATATTGCGAGGAAACAATTTGCTAGGGCAGACATTGTATTAAAAAACACAGTCAGGTACAGAGGCCACCAACACCCTACCGTGAAGCGCGCCCAGATAAATGTGCATATGTGCAACCGAGGAGATACGAAAGTTGTATAAAACGTGTATATACAACAGTACAGA